TGGAATTTCTGCAGGCGCATCCCCGGAGCTGGGACTGTCGCATCTGCCGGAGGGCCCATTGGCTGGCCAGGCAACTCCCTTGGCTCGCCCACTGTTCGATCCCAAGGGCGAGGAGGCTGCCACGAACAGGCATTTGTATAAAGCCTCTCCAGAAGTGCAGAGCTATGTAGAGCAGTATTTCCGGACAATCCAAAGTGATGCTGTAGTAAAGGAGATGACCTCCAAGGACCCACGTCCCGATACCGCAGCATGTGTTGTGCCAACGGTGGACGACGCCGTTGCGTCTTGGCTCGGGGAGGAACTCCCGAAGACCATGGATAGTGGCCTGCACAAATTACAGCAGAATTTTTTGTCGGCGTGTGGCCCACTGACCCAACTCTGGGAAGACATTATCAGCAACGGGGACAGTATGGACGTTCCCACGGATGTAGTCCTGGATGCTGTTCAGCGATCACTGGTACTGTTGGGGCATGCCAATGCCCGGATGACTGCTCATCGCCGTGCCGCCATCTTGGAGGGTGCAGGGCACAAGGCACTGGCGAAGGATGCGAAGGAGCTGCCGCTGCCGAAGGAGGGCACCTCCTTGTTTGGTGACACATTTTACAAGGAACTGGAGCAGAAAGGCGAGGTGAGGAAAACCCTCGCCAAGTCCACGTCAGCTTGGACCAACACCCGTCGTGATCGGTTGCCGACCCACCATCACTCTTCGTCAGAGGGTTTTTCCTCCAGGCCCTGGCAAAGCCGCCCCGGGGCGTATTCCCGCGCGAGCCGACCTGCTCCATACAGGCCTCAACGGCCCGAGTGGTCCCGTCCACCACAGCATCCCACAGGCGGTGCGAGCCGAGGACGTTCGGACTGGGATTATGTGGAGTAGACACTGCACAGTTCTCTGGTCATTCAACTCGATCTGCCGCTACGTCTGCTGCTCGCTCTTCTGGTGTCCCCATGGAAGTTGTGCTTGCCGCCGCTGATTGGAGTGGTCCCAGCACGTTTATTCGGCATTACTACCGGCCATCTGCAATGGCCCAGTTCACCCAAGCTGTCCTGAATGCTGATTGATCGCTCAGTCCGGACCGACTGCAGTGTCTGCCTCTTCAGACCGATGTTAGGTTTTGTTCACTTTGAATGACACACTGGAGCATCGAGCTGGAACCTCTGAAATGTAATCTGTAATTCTGCAAGAATTCTCTGAATTTGCAGTAGAATTATGGTTACATGAGGAGGTGAAAGCGAAGATGTGACAGTGTGTTCCCACCCATTCTATGATGAACGTTTCCGTTTCTACCCACCCTAGCTGTCACAGTTCCTAAGCAGTGGGTTGACTGTCTGCTCTAGTGATCCACATCTGTTGGATTGACCACTATTTTATGTGTTATTTGGCTGCGGTGCCGAATGTATAATACTTCCGTTTATCCCGTTATCCGTGTCATGTTTCCAAGGTGTGGACTGCACGCTTCCTATGGTATATGACTTTGTAGTGCCACCTGCCAATTCAAGTTGTATTCCATGAAATACTAGTTTTTCTGTCAGCTCGTTCAAAAGGCCAGTGAGGGTCAGGTTGGAGCTGAGGATAAAGGCGCGAAGATGTGTTTGTTTATTGACGTCACTAAAAAATCTCGGGTTTTATTATGTGAGATGAAAGGCCTAACACACTGTCACATCTTCGCTTTCACCTCCTCATGTAACCATAATTCTACTGCAAATTCAGAGAATTCTTGCAGAATTACAGATTCATGGGCGTAATCGAACGCAGCCAGTAAACTTTGGCCACCGTTTCCCACCAGTGATAATTATCAACAGACCTGATACACCATAGATTATGCACGCGTACACACGCACAGGCACACATGGGTGCAGACGAACTCACACAAGCTCACACATACGCACACCATTGGACCATTGGACACCCATCGCCGGAGGAGGCGATGATAGCAATGCTACAGCAGAAGCCATAGCAACTTGTGCTGGGATAGCACCATTCAACAGCTTGCAAGGCTGAAGAATTGACCGCCACTATTCAGCCTGGTCTACACCACACAGCTATGAAGTGGCTTTTTCTGGCCAGTGAATCCCTACTTTTTGGTCTTTTTCATTTTTGTTTTCACACACATCACACCACATACTCCGGCATACACTGGCTGTTGGTAACTACCCAGGAGAATGAAAGAAAAGTCAGGAGGAGTCTGAGAAAGAGAAGAAAGACGTACACACGCACACACGCACACGCACACACACACACACAAACACACACATACACACAGACACACAAACAGACAGACACACACACCCACGTACACGCGTTCACGCACGCGCGCACACACACACACCACCCACAAACAGACACACACACACACACAGAAGCACACACATACCGGTTGCAGCATTGTTCTGTAGATATTGCGACAGAGAGATAGCCGAAGAAGCAAAGAGGTTCCATGCGTGGTGGTGTACATAGGATGTCAGCAAGCGTGCTGCATCCACTGCAAAAGAAAACAACAAGGGAAGAAGCAACAGTGACAAGACAGCAAAGACAACGACATCAGAAAAACAGCAAGCGTGCACACGCGCACGCACACACGCGTACGCACACACACGCGTACGCAAACACACACAACCACGCACACAGACAGTCATACATTGTAGATCTCTTGCACCAACAATAAAGATGCTGAGACCATTCAGAGTTCGACTTTACAGCACCTCCAAATTGCACGCGGGTCGGTTCTGGTGCAAATCTTCGGCAATGAACTGTAACATTCACAGTACCTCCCCCCCCCCCCCCCACACACACACCCATGCACACACACCCACACACCCATGCACACACCCACACCCACACATGCTTGGAAATAGCGGTGCCTACCATCAGGTCCGCTCTGGTCTTTATGATCCAGCAGCTCATCACCAGTTAGCTCGCGTCCAACTATTGTGCAGTCGCGGGACACCCGGTGAGATGCTTGATGTCTACGAAAACACACGCACGCACACGCACACACACACACACACACACACAAGCGAGCGAGAGCGCGCACGCACAAGCACACACACATAAGCACACACGCACACACGCACAAGCACACACACAGACACACACACACACACACACACACACACACACACACACACTGTACTGTACTGTACTGTATTGACAGCTACCCTAACGGGTCACGCCGCCCTCCACCCAAGCATGGGTATGATGAGGGGCAGTGGCAACAAAAACAAAAACAGCAAGCAGAGAGAGATAGCAGGAGAAAGACAGCGATAGTAGTACATCTGGTGTGCGACGTATAGAAAAGAGAGATGACAAGAGATATGCACAAAAAGGAAACAATAATTATTTGAACCTGTATTATTGCAGTTCCGAAACAATCAACCAGGTGATGGAGTGTGGGCACCCGAAGTCCCACCTGGACTCCACTGGAAGAACATTCCACGCAGGGATATCAGCGATAGGCCAAGCGTTGAAAAACAGCCATGAGGACACATCGTCTAGAAGTCCACCGCGCTCGAACTGAAATTGCAGGATCAAACAATTTCCCACGCGTCGTCAGGCAGCCTAACTCTTCTCCCTTCATCACCATCCATCTCCAGCAACCGTCTCCACTCACAGCTCATGCCTCTGCCACCACTGTACTCCGAGCTTCACAGTTTGAAACCATTCGGGGGTCAGCTACACCACCGCGAATGGAGAGACGAGGACGACAACGGTCGTGACAGAAAATACACTGCCCTGGCGACCGCGTCGCGGAACCCTCGCCCCAGCAAATTCAGAAACACGCCAGGGGCGACTCTGGTGGACCCATGCCCAGAGCCACCCCGTGGCCTAAGACTAGTAAGAGGAACGGCTGAAACTCAGATAAAACGGAGCTACAAAAAGTGCAACCGTCCCCTAGGCCCTTCAAACACACACACACACACACACACACACACACACACACGCACGAGTGCACAAACACACGGATGAACAAACACAAAATTTAATAGCAAAACACAGACACACCCAACAGGGCAGAATGCAAGCAGCGTTCTAGCCAAAGGAGGAACCCTGGCAAGTCATTGTTGAGGTCGTCTAACAGACAGGTTGTCTCCAAAGCTAGATGGTCTCAAACTAGGTGATCTCAAACTAGGTGGTCTCAAATATCAGGTGGTCTCAAATACCAGGTGGTCTTTAATACCAGGTGGTCTCTAATACCAGGTGGTCTCAAATACCAGGCGGTCTCTCTGACGACAGGTTGCTTCTGAAGTCAGGTGGTGCCTAAGTATATACTCTAAAGCGAGAAACTTTTGCTAGAGATTAATTATTTGCTATTTTTACGCCCATCTCACATTTGCGAAAAAAGAATCACAGCGAATTGCTCTGTACATTGATTGTAGACAGTACAAGATCCGACTGAACAGGTAAAACCGCGATAGTTTCTTATCGTGAACTATTGCAATTCTTGAAATGCAAAAATTGCACATTTACCAGATTGAGTCACTGTACGGTATACAATACTGTACAGCGTAGCTGCACACATGACACTGACATCTCACTGTAGTGCGGTTTTCGCTTGTTTGCGGAGAAGGCGGAGACCCGGAACGCACAACCTTTTTTTAAATATGTTTTCACGGAGAAGGCGAAGAGCCCGAAAATCTCGGCCCTTGTACAGTAAAACCTGTCAAGGTGACCACTCAGATAAGGTGACCACTCAGATAAGGTGACCACTCAGATAAGGTGACCACTCAGATAAGGTGACCACTCAGATAAGGTGACCACTCAGATAAGGCCACCACTCAGATAAGGTGACCACTCAGATAAGGTGACCACTCAGATAAGGTGACCACTCAGATAAGGTGACCACTCAGATAAGGCCACCACTCAGATAAGGCGACCACTCAGATAAGGTGACCACTCAGATAAGGTGACCACTCAGATAAGGTGACCACTCAGATAAGGTGACCACTCAGATAAGGCGACCACTCAGATAAGGCGACCACTCAGATAAGGTGACCACTCAGATAAGGTGACCACTCAGATAAGGCGACCACTCAGATAAGGTGACCACTCAGATAAGGCGACCACTCAGATAAGGTGACCACTCAGATAAGGCCACCACTCAGATAAGGCCACCACTCAGATAAGGCCACCACTCAGATAAGGTGACCACTCAGATAAGGCGACCACTCAGATAAGGTGACCACTCAGATAAGGCGACCACTCAGATAAGGTGACCACTCAGATAAGGTGACCACTCAGATAAGGCGACCACTGAGATAAGGTGACCACTCAGATAAGGCCACCACTCAGATAAGGCCACCACTCAGATAAGGCCACCACTCAGATAAGGCGACCACTCAGATAAGGCGACCACTCAGATAAGGCGACCACTCAGATAAGGCGACCACTCAGATAAGGCGACCACTCAGATAAGGCGACCACTCAGATAAGGCGACCACTCAGATAAGGCAACCACCTGCCCCAGAAGACCACTGCTACCAAGAACAAGGGATGCTATAAGCAGTCAAACGACCCTGGATACGGAAACCACCTGGCAACAGAGACCACATTTCGAAGGTCCCTTGAGCGGTCGTCTTAGACAGGTTTCACTGTACCATAAAAAAATGACAGCAATGCAAACTGTAGTGGGGGGGGGGGGGGGTGCTAGTAACACATAACACTGTAATCTTACTGCAGTGGTGTGGAGCCATCATAGTGACATCCCAGACACAGGTCAAAATCATCACACTCTTCACAGTGGATACGTGTGCCGTTGATCAGCACTCGACAACTGTCACAACTCCACCTGCAAGTGCACACACGTGTAGCAACACACACACACACACACACACGCTCACGCACGCACGCACGCACGCACACACACACACACACACACACACACACACATACACACACACACACACACACACACACGCTCACGCACGCACGCACACACACACACACACACACACACACACATACACACACACACACACACACACACACACACACACACACACACACACACACACACAGCACACACACAGCACACAAACCAAACTCTAGTTCCAAAACGCAAAGAATTATACGAACAAAACTTCAACACTAGAGTCGGCCGAGATTCAGACAAGGAATTACTAGCAACAACAAGTCGGTCAATAGTGGGGCTCTGCTCTACGTGAAGCATAGAGAAATCACGTACAGAATAGGTGTCTGGGTTAAAGTTCATGCCTTCGCGTGTTTTGGGTCCAGATTTCTACGCGTAGATGAGGTTCTCTACATTGTGGCACAGGCACAGAAAATGCGCCTGGATCTGCTGGGTATCGTTCAAATCAGGCAGAAAACTGCCAAATTTGGAACAGGAAATTCCCAGTAACGTGATTTCTCAACGTGAACGTAGAGCAGAACTGGTTTCCCTTACGTTACGGGAACGCGAAGAGAGTTAACGGGACTCTTTGAATCGAGCAAAAACGAATCTGCTTGTACGAGAAATTGTGGGTTTGAGTGCAGGCTTCCAGGGCGGGATGGAGGCAAGTTACGTAACGAAGGCAGCGTGCAGCGCACTGACCCACAACCACAGTTGCATACTCTTATTTATGCACTCTTGCTAGTGACTGAAAAAAAGAAGAAGAATCGCTTAGCCCTTACCGCATCTCATTGAAGGTGTGCATCTCACCAGGACCAGCTTCTGGGCAGTTCTTCACCTCGCCCAAACCTGGCAAGGTGAAGGACAACACAACAAGGACAACACACACACACACACACACACACACACACACACATACACATCCGACCTCAGACCTGCCCATTGCGGAAGCGATGATAGCGAACAGCTATGTTAGACATAGCAACTTGTGCTGGGATTGCACCATTCAACAGCTTGCAAGGCACCCCCTCCCCTCCCCCCCCCCCCCCCCCCCACACACACACGCACACGCACACACAATGTGGGATACAAGAACAGCCAGCACAGGTAATGACTCTGAAGAGGCATAGCACAGTTGCGCTCGGTGAAATCACACGCACACGCACACACAATGTGGGATACAAGAACAGCCAGCACAGGTAATGACTCTGAAGAGGCATAGCACAGTTGCGCTCGGTGAAATCCGATCCAGAGTGCAATGCTGGTGGCCTGGACCAGTCCCGATTACAGTCAACTTGGCTAATAACGACTGCGGATATAACGACAATTCGCGAATAACGACAGAATTTCCATGCCCAGAGCAAAGTCCCATCCCACTGTAATACATATAATGAGACTTCGGGTATAACGACACTTCGCGAATAAGGACACCTTTTTGATGCCGCGCCGAGTGTCGTTATAAGCGAAGTTGACTGTACATCATTGTATTTGTACATGCCTTGCAAGGTTCATGACAACATAGTGCGGTATATGGAGGGCTTTGGTGGAATACGGAAGAGAGAATGAGAGGGCGGAAGGGCAGACGGGGAGAGGAGAAGAGGAAATTTCATTCACTACCAGCAAAATTACTCAACAAGTAACTGCCACAATTTCTAGTCTAGTCTAGAGTCTTGAGAAAATGAATGGTACCTCCTACCATGGCATGATACCGGCACCACCCAGGGAAATACATGTATGGCTGTTTGAAAGGACATCACTATGAGCAGAACTTTCAAGATAACTATGCACGCACACCCATACACATATGTGCAAGTACAGATAGACAGACAGACAGACAGACAGACAGACAGATAGACAGACACACATACACACAGAGCAGAAAACTATAGTAGTACTAATATGCATAGGAGGAGCTCACCTGTCCAGCAGCTGCGGCAAATGTCATAGTCCCTGCAGGTCAGGCAGCGGTAGCGTATCGGTGATATTGTGTCGCTGCAAATATCGCAATTCACCGAGATGTTTGACAGTTCCTCGGAGAACGAGCTGATGAATAGTTGCATGTTCTACAAGTGAACCACCGCAACACAAGCATAACCATGGAAACGCAGTGAACAACATAGACACTAGTGTAGCGAGAAGGACTCACGGGTGTGTGGGTGTGTGGTCCCCGGTGGCCTATTCGGTAGGGCAATGTGCCGGAAAGACAGGGGTGCTGGGTTCGAATCCCGCTGGTGGATCCTTCTTTTGCAACACAACAACCCCAGCACAACACACGTGTAACCATGGAAACGCAGTGAGCAACATAGCCACCATGACAGAAGCACGATCTCCCCTTCACCGGCCTCTATATACCGTTAAGTCCTGTATAGAAAATGCACTTGAATACAAGCCGCCCAAGAATAGAAGCCGCACTTTTCGTCCCATCAAATCGCACATAACACACCCTTGTATAGTAGCAGCAGCTTCAAAATGCAACGCTACGCCCACTCCTACTGTCCTAGATCAGTACTAGTAGATCGTACAGGCTACAGTACACCCACTGTCACATGTATAACTGAGTATAAGCCACACGTGCATGTGACTCCTGACATAGAGCAGATATCAACAGAAAAACATGTGAAATGTAATTGTTCTCTCTCTCTCTGTGGTGCATGCGTCTTCAAGACTTGCTACAGTTGAGTGTTGGTACATCGTTTTCTTACATTTACGTAATTAGTTCCGTTCCTTGCTGCATTCAACGATACTGTAGAAGTCTACGTTGGGTCCAAGCAACTCCACCCTGTCCATCTTTGTTCTGCTTCTTTCTATTATTATTATTTATGACTTCCCTTGATCGTTTGTTCGAACTATTCTCTTCAAAGAATTCAGTTTACTTTACATTAAAAAAATTTATTTGTTCATTTATTTGTTCGTATTTATTTTGTTCTTGAGACTGCATGCGGCCTGTGCCTTGTTCTGGCTGCGGCGCGTCGCCGCGGGCGCAGGCTTCATGCAGTCCATGCGCGGTACCTAAAATGTGCTCTGTATTCAGCGTACACAGTGTACGACGCTGAGAGGGTCGTTTGCGCAGGTGTCGTACTTTTGCACACATCTTTCTCTCTAGCTCTGGAAGTGGTGATTTGCTGGGGTCTTCCGGTGGTTTTTGTTCGGTTATTCTTTCGGCTGCTCTCCCAAGGTTATTTACTCCTCTGCATGTATTCTTGTAACAATATTCCCATGTAACCAATTGGCTGTGGCGGTGAAATAGCGCACTAGTAGTATGAAGTGATTCGGTTACAGCGTGGTGCCGGAACCCGGGAATCTTACGGGACATTTAGCTGGTTTTGTAGAGGAGGAGTAGTGTCATGGCATCGATGAAGATCGACAATTTTCTGAAGCCATTCGGCGGTAGACCCGGTCAGAGCTGGGAGCAGTTCTGGGGAAAGTTTCAGGTCCTTGCGAACATCCAAGGTTGGGATGACGAGGCGAAGCAGATGAAGAACTTTCCCTTGTTTCTGGATGGCGACGCATTCCTGGTGTTTAGCAGGATGACGGCCGACGACAGAAAAAAGAAAGACAAGATGACGCAGGTTATGATCCAGTCGTTCAGCATGACGGAATCGGCTGCGTACAATGCGTTTGTTGGCCGTCGACTCAAGATAGACGAGTCGGCTGATGCGTATGTGGCAGATCTTCAGCGCCTGGCCATTCTCTCTGGCCACACGGTCACCGGAGATGAAGACGCCATGATCGTCGCACAGCTGGTGGCTGGCCTTTCTCCTACCTTTTCGCGCGAGCTGCGCCTGTCGATGGCTGGGAAAGACCTGAAGATCAGTAGCTGCCTGGATATCACCAGGGGCTGAGATCCGCCAGTGATGACGCTGACACCCATCGTGACGCAAGAATTCCCGGCGGTCGATAACTACATGGACGACATCAAGACACCCGCCAGCGATGCTGACGCAGTTGCAGCGCAGATGCTGGAATACGGGCTCCCCACGAAGCCTGTTGAGCCATTCGCAACATCCCGAGTGCTGGGGTTGCAGCTGCAGAAGGGCGCCGGCGGCAGTGTGCAGTAGTCGCGCCACAGCGACATCGACCTGACGCTGCCACGGCCAGCTACGAAGAGGGACATCTTCAGCTGGTGCGGCCGTCTGACCGGGCACGTGCCCGCGTGTAGAAAAAGATGTGTAAACAAACCCAATTGTGCTGTAATGGCTGTGATGCTGGTGGTATTGGTGATACCGGTATTTGACGAGCCAGAATACCAGTACTACATTTCACACATAAGCCTATCTCATAGAATCCTGTCTCATATAGAAGCCTGCCTCGTATAGAAGCCTGTCTCATATAGAAGCCTACTAAATTTCCCCCAACAAAATCATAATATAAGCCGGGGCGGCTTTTATACACGACTTTACGGTATATTAGTGCAGCAGGTCTATAATTCTGGACGGCTGCTTACATCTGATGGTTCTCTGGCCGACGCCCAGCGGCTGTAGTCGCCACTGGCTTCCGGAAACCACCTCTTGTAGCGACGATGACGCTCAATCTGTTCACTCTCGAAAGCGGGCAAGACTTGGCTGTCAAACGACACTGCGTGAGAAGACAGAACACAAAGAAACAAACTGATCCATCTGAAGTCCTAGGGGTGAAACAATAGATGATATGCCAAATAAGCCCTCGAAAAGTTGAGAGGGCATGCGATTGATGCGCCCAGGCTTAGCTTGTCAAGTGCACGGGATGTGCAAAGTACACGGATTTTAGGCTTGTTGCGCGCTTACGCGATCAGGTGCTGCACGTGCATGAATGGAATGCATGCAGTTCCACCGTTACTAGTTTTAGCACTTCCTTCGGCGTTGAGATTATTAATGAAGAACTAAAGCTGTAAATCTGGATGGAAGAAACAGTTTTGCTTGCTTTATAGCGGCTGGAGTGATTTTTCGCTGTCTTGTTTTCGGATGCCGACCAACCACGACCATTGCTGTGTTCCAGGATGTACTGGTTGTCGCCGTGACTCCCCAGCCCCAGCAAAATTAATGGTAGTCGTCTTTTCCATAAATTTCCATCATCCTGAACTGTGAAGGAAATGGACTGTTGCTATTCGACGGGAGGAAAGGCAAGGAGAGCAAAAGAAAGTGACACTACAGTGGTGTGATCTGACCTTTTCTTGCCAGAAGATTATGTACAAGGCGAGAAAATCGCCAGAGCAAGACTGGTAAAACATTTTGTATCTGGAGTTTTCAATCTGGTCCGCCAAGACAACAGCGGCTGATGCTAACTGGGCCTCGCTCTACCTCGTGTCGTGAGCTACTGCACGGGAGCTGCCTGAAGACATACGACTCATACCTAGAGATATCCCAGGCATACTGTCCCTACGCTGGAGGAAGCATTCGACAGTATTCAATACAATCTGGGTGACTGCAAGAATAAAGTAGCAAAATTGAGCGAAATGACTAACAGTCGCATGTTTGGAGTTCTGGTATCCCGATTCAAAGACAAGGCATCACATCAGTAACCTTGCACAACACAGTCATGCGACGTTTCAAGCGGAGTCTCAAGATAACATTTGGCTACCCAGCAGCCACCATTTGTCACCGCCATAAAAATATTCCCGTCGCCATCCGTTAAAACTTTATGATTATTTCGCCTTGTTTTATAAATGTGTGCATGGCTGCCATGCCTTAGCACCACAGCCCCCTCTTTGCAGAGTTTCCTTTGTTTTTAGGTCCAATATTCACCCTACGCTGGCTTCGGAAGCCTTGACCAGGCCTGCTGAGGGGATAGTACACCCTCGCTTTAGCCCTACCTAATGCTTCTTCACGACATGGCTTCTCTTTGCAAAACATACAGGTACCTGGTCTCTGATAGCAGTGATAGCTGGAGTTTTCTTCCATCGGGGTGCTGCTAGGCAGCCTCCTTCGTCATGCCGCAGACGCTGCGTAGAAGGCTGTTATGTTATAAGTTCTTATAACTAACTACCTTCTACGTAACCTCTTTTGCAATACGCCATTTCCCACTTACCTCGAGCACCCTGTAAGAAGGCGCATTGTCTGCAGGGATGGCCCTAGTAGAATGATAAATACAACAAAAATAGAACAACTCTATTTGTGCTGGCCCTGACGAATAGCGGAAGCACATGAGAAACTGGTTGCCTGGAGCAATGACGCCGGGAAAGAAACGCTGATGTGATCTCACTCGGGTGAGGGATGAGGTGAAACCGCGAAACAGTCAGGGTCTTGCTTCTCAGCCTATGCCATATGCCGCTGCCAATCTGCTGTTGGGTATGGCGCTCTATTGCTATTGCCTCTGTTAGGAGCACCTTCTCTGTGATGTGGGATAGGGAAGGCGGGATTTCCAAGGACAAAGTCAAATCAATGTTGCCAGTGTCAGTATGCCCAGGTGGTTGATAAGGGTTTTCGCAACTACGTTCCTTGGCCCTTGTGGCCCATTGCTGTTGTTGCTAGGTTGCATATGCCAGGTATTGACCTTTCATCTCACAATAGTTGAGGGTCAGCAGCAATGCAACGATGTGGTGGAAGGAGCATGCAATGCTGCAGTGCAAGTGCAATATGCAGACATCACTTCGAGTACATGCTTTTCTTTTAGCACTGTAGCACACACTTAGCTCTCCTTCTTCTTTTGAGATGCCCAACACATAGCCTTGACAAAGTATCT